TAACACCCTTGGGTGTGACTTCTGCAGGGTGATGACATTCCGTGTGCCTGTCCTGTTGTCCTGGGAAGCAGAGCCTGGATGCCAGATGTTGGCCCAAGTTCAGGTGCACAGAGGCCTGTGGAGCCCTGGTCACTACCAGCACTGCCACCACAGCCCTGGGAGGGCTGTCAGAGGTCTGTGCTCTCCAGGGAAACACAGAGCTCAGGGGCAGTGGAGCTCCCCAGAAACCTGAAATGAAGGACAAGTGTAAGGACTGAGTCCTGCGATTACTATTCTTTTGCTAATGTGCTTTGCGCTGTTCTCTTTATAAATTACTGAATTATCCTTAGGAACAAAAGGTATTAGGGTCCTTCAAGCTTCTCTCAGTTTGTGGTAGGACTAATTCATTAATGTGGCTCCAACAGGAATGTGTGCAATGTTCTTTCTAATTGGACATGACTGGTCAAGAATGACTTGGCCTCCATCCAGATCACACTGTCACTTATGCTGTATAATAAGCTACTACTACTGGCCCATGAATCAATTTTTAAACAATCTCCAGTAATGAACTTGGACGGCCCATTGTTGTTGACAAAGAAATGCACAGTCCTGCTATTGTCAAGGGGCTCAATTATGGGTTCTTGCTGATAAAATAGAGGAGGGGGAAGAGGGGGGCGGTCTACGGACAGTAGTGACAGACTGAAAGAAGTGTTTCATCTCTGGGGTCCTTACAGAGGATGACAAGCCAAAAGGTCAGTTTCATAGAGGTTTAACTTGAAATGTCTGAGGACAAAAAAGGCATCTAGAATCATTAGGAAATGTGAAGTTTGACTCGCACCATTGGAAATCCTTAATATATTATTTTAACTGTAGAACTGACAAACTCTTTGCCCACTGGGTGGGAAAGAGAGGTTAAGGAAAGTAAGAGCTTTATATTTCTCCAGTGGGGGGGAATAAAAAGGTTAATTTTAGTAACTCTGGGAAGAGTCTGTGAGGAAACTGTCAATGTTTCAGCCCATTTGCCATTGTCCTGAGCCAGCGGAGTCAACGCGGTTAGCGGGAGAGGCTGCTGCCGGCACTGCCTGCCGGGCGCCGAGCTCCCAGCGCTTTCCCCTCAAATAACCTCACCAGTCACCGAAATGTCAGGGCTCTGCCCAGTTCCCCCTGCCTGAACCAGCCTCATCAGCACGGCAGTGCTGCTTCAGCGCTGCACACTTTGTTCAGAATTACTCGCACGTTACCGGGATTCCCTGAGCCCGACGGCGCAAAGAGAAGGAATATCTCTGCAGCGCTTCTTAGCAGCTGGGTCTGGCATGGAAGGAGATGTGCGGGGAATACTCTTCCTAGCTGAACAACACCTTGCAAAACAGGTTCCTTGTCATGCCCATGCTGGGCCACAGTTGTCAACTCTTATTTTTAAAGCTTTGAAAACACCATGTGAAGTCAGGGAGTTGATACCAGGTTTCTTCCAGCAGCAGAGGACACTGCTGTGATCCCATGCAAGAGAGCCCACCCAAGTTTAAAAAAAAAACCAAGCAGGGTGAAGATTTCCAAGTGAATATGTCCACTGGGCCCATGAGTAAAAACTTTCTCTTTCCTGGTGATTTCATCACAAAGATGGAGGAGAAGGGCACAGGGGGGCCTGCACTAGGAAATCCCACTACGTATTTTCCAGGAGGATGAGTCACTTCTCCATCTGGATAAGACACCTTGTCTCCATTCCCCAGCCACAAAGCAGGACAACTTGAGTGCTTTTGAAAAGCCAGCCTCGAGCAAGACCAGTGGGTGGTATGTGATGAGGAGGGGTCCAGCAGGGAAGTAGGGAATTAATCACACATGGAAACTTTACTGGAGCAGGAGTGAATCTGGACATGCAAGGCTGATGGCTGCTCAAAGGTGGAGTCTGAGCCACACCTGCTGCTGGGAAGGCTGCTGGGGCTTGTCCAGCAGGTGGGCACTTCTCACAGGATAGTCCTTCCAAAGCCCTTCAGCAGAAGGATGAGGGAAGGTGCTGAGGACACCGTGCTCAGCACACCCCAACACCAGCTGGAGTCAGGGAGAGATGCTCCAGGACCACACGTGGCAGCACACAGGGACCTGGTGGAGCATGCCGTGCAGTGACTTCATGAAGCAGCAGCGGACAATCCCACATGGAAACATGTATCTTGGCATTGTTGCCTTTTTGTTATTGCTCAGACCACCAGCATACAGGAAAAATTGACCTGGGACAATTCTTGGGAGGCTGTGAGCAGAGGAAGGTGCTGGATGGAGGGCAGAAGGGCCTTTGCAAAGACAAGCTGCCACTGTTGCATTATGTCCTTAGGACAAGATCCTGTGTGGTGGCACTCCTCTGAACTGCTGAAATAGCCAACTTGCAGGTGACTCCCAAATTTCCCAAGGAAAGAAAGGACAGCTTCCTGTCCCCATTCTCTCAACTGGCAAGAAACTCTCTAGAACATGCCCTCCTGTGAATACACCCAGACCTGTGGTGCTAATGGTTTGTGATTCACCAGGCAGGAATGCATCTCTGCATCCAAAAACTGGGCTCTGGTATTTCTATTGCTCACTGGCATAGAGAAACAAGCAAAAGGAAGGGACTTGAGCCCAAGAAGAGAGAAAAGAGCTGTGGGGTGAAGTCACAGGCATGGGGGAATGAGGACTGGCTTTCCACCCAGCACATTGGCCCAAAGCTCATTTCAGTCAGCAGAGAGCTGAAGACAGCCCTTGTGCCTACTGACAGGATTTTGAGACACCCTGTGCCCTGAGCAAGTCATACTGCAGCAAGCCTGGTCCATGGGACAGAGCCAGATGTCCCAGCAGAGGTAATTCCCACATCAGCCAAGGTCTCTGTAGGGGCTGAGTGGAGGAGAAAGGTCTTGGGAGCTGGAGCTATTTGGGCACTGGCTGAAAACCCTCTCCTTACAGAGCCAGAGACTGCAGGGGCCGTATTCGGTGCCTGTCTCAAGTCTGGGCGACCCCGTCTGTTCCCATTAGGAGGCCCAGGCGGTAAATTGGGCCCTGAATATATAATTAAGCAAAGGGCACCATCCTGAAGCCAAGGTTCACACTGATTTGTTGTGGCTGGGGTGGGAACAGCCCTTCACAAATCAGTCGCAGGATGTTGCTCCTAGTCAGCTGGAAACTTGGTAGCTCAACTCCATAAAAGCTGGATCTAACGCTTCAGCTCCCCAGCTGGTTTCAGCATCCTGACCAGCACGCAATCCTGTGGCTTGCTTTTCTGCACGACAGTCTGGAAACCTTCCTTGAGAGCCTCTTGTTTGCTGGCTGCCAGGATTTGCCATGCAGATTCTTGCCAAAGGGATAATATAAACAAAGCATAATGTCAAGTTTCCCACACAAGTAAGATGATCTATTAGCACTGCACTTTGTACTAATTATTGCACAGTGGGTGGGGGCTTGTGAAAGGAGATTTATGCATTCAGCTAGCCTCACTTTTATTATTTGTAAGTACTTTTTGGCAAGGAATGAGCGAGATATGTATTTTATTGTTACACTGTTGCAAACATCCTAATCTTCCGCACTCATTAAAACCTCATAACAAATAGTAAGAATGATATATTGCAGCCACAACGAGCATCCCATTCATCCCCAGGTGGGGGGAGGGGGACAAGACACAGGAGAGGGATGACAGGGAAAATGGGAATTTGGTTTTTTGGGCTGTGGTCATAATTTGCATCACTCGGAGAGTACCTGAAGGAAGGAAAGAAGGGATGAGGAAAGGCTGCTGGGACACCAGAGTGGGTGGGGAGCTCTGAGGTGTCAGTGTGGAAGAAAGATGCTCAAGGTGTGAGTCAACACTTCCAGAAAGCAAAAGCCCATTTGTGCCCTTCCTGGCATGAAGCAGTTAAGTTGTATATCTGCTCTGGGAAATCACATCACTACCCAGGAGCAGCCAGGCTTGCAAGACTTGCGCCCATGTGTCAGGTCCTGCATAAGGAAGAGTCTGTGGCATCTTGAGAAGGCATTTGAGTGTTTCTGCACTGCATGGGCCAGCAAAAAGGGCCCCAGAATTTGCACAGCGCCCCAGGTTGTCCTTGGGAAATTTACTGTTGCATGCTGTACCTGTGGGGCTGTTGTTGGGTGAAAGCCAAACTTTGTCTGTTGTTTTAATGGAAAAAAAGTTCAGTGGAAATTGTTGTTACAGGTTAAAGGGCACTTCCAGGGCCTCAAAATGGTTTGTAGGGATTTTTTTTAGTGTAAACCCCCAGGTAAAGATCAGAAAAGATGACCCAGAGTCGTACACGCACTCTTGGCACCTTGGAAAAGATTGCCAGAAGAGATGAATGGAAAATTATCAGGAAATCCAGTGAGGCACAGTCCCACCTGCACACCACAGTCCCAGATCTGCACACCACAGCTGCCAGAGCCATCCCCACGCTGGCTCATGCTTATCTGGCTGAGATGAGAGCTGAGGAGCTCTGCTCAGAGCTGGTGGGGTTTCTCAGCATTTCCTACCCAACCAGAGCCCTACTTGCTCCACTGTTGAGTCATCTCTAGGGGTTGGGTTGAGAGAAGGACTTCCATCCTCTTCTCCATCATTTGTCCCACCCAGAATATTATATTTGAAATAACGTCATCCAGGCTGGGCATGAGCTGCCAGCCCAGGACCTTTGCCCTGGTCAGAGCCTGTTGAGGTGTCCTTTCCCTCTTCACCTGCTTCTTCCAAAATGCCACTCTTGTTCTGTGTCTTTCTAGCCTCCCAAAAGTCATCACTGAACTGACTTCTGGTCACAAGGGAGGAGGAGAGTGTGACCCAGAGGCCACCTCTGCCTGGGGCAGGGTCAGTGTGGAGGACAGTCAGGCAGGAAGTTTCGGACACTCTGTTTCCAGCACAGCTTTGGAGTGGCCACATGTGTCAGGCAGACAGCTCGACCCTTCTCTAGGTACCTGCAGAAAGGGACTGAAAATAATATTCACTTTTTATGGCTCCAGTCTCAAAACCTTTGGCAACATCTTTCTTCTTCAATTTAAGGTAGATGAAGTTTGGGACTCTATTTGCATGAGTTTTCCAGCTCTTGTTGGCTTATTCCCAGGATGTTGCTAGGAGAAAGAAAAAAACTAAAAAGACAAGTGAAGTAGAAAGGGAGAGAAATGGTTGAATTCAGGATATCATACATACTGTCTGGACCTTCAGCCTATAGAAAATGTTGAAGTACAGAACACTTCACAGAGGTACTTTTTGGTCCCAGGGACCAGGAGAGCACATCCCCAAGTGGGAACAGAATAATCACACACCCTTGGCCTTTGCCCTCCCATGAATACAGGAGGTGGAAGGGTGTCCTGCTCTGCTTCCATCTGGAAGCATGGGCAGATTGTCCATTACACCAGTCATGAAATGGCTAATAAAGATGCAGGGGATTAGGTACATGTCTGTGATGGATGCTCAGCTGGAAGAGCAGCACTGGGTGGAGTGGCTTCCTATCTTGCTATCAGCATGTCCCATAAAGGATGTTCTGGAGACAGTTTCTGGAGAAAGCCTGGCTCCTCTCTTGGGTAGGAAGCAGAAGTAACAGGGCGAAACCTTGTGCCTGAGATGGGAAAAATGAGGATTAAGGAAGCTGTCAGCATTAAGTAACTCATCCCTCAGGCTTAAGTTGCCAAAACAGAGATCAAGAAATACACTCAGCAAGGAAGGGCTTGATACTGTCTTGGGAGCCACTGGTGTGAACCCAAATTGTTCCATTAAGGATCAATTGCTCCCAAATGCAGGCACACACTACTGAATGAGGGATTTCTGAGGCTGCTGCTGCCACTGCCGGCATCCACAAGTCTGCCCCACCATGGTGTGAAACCCCAGCTGAGCAACCTCACTTCACTCCTCCCCTTCACCAGTAGCTAAACCCTGCCTCATGCCTGCCCAGCCACACTTGCATATCCTTATTTGATTTTTTCATCTTTTCAGACCTTACCCTGATAATGAATTAGAGCCAGAACTGGGAAACTCTCTCCTTCAGCTGGTGTCTGCTCTAACCTGGTATTATTTTTGTTCTCACCTTCCTCCCCGTTCATCTCCATCGCAATGCAGACATTATCCCATCCTCTCTCCCATCTCCCCCAGCACTCTGCACTCAATCTCCCTCTGCACAGGCTCACCCTGAACAAACCTCTTTTGTCGGGCCACCCCACACAACAAGAAAATTAGCATAATTTGGGCATGTTGAGGCCACCACAGCAGCTACAAGCCATGATTACAGTGCATGTGGTTAGCAGAGCCTGCAACATCAAACAGTGTGTTTACAACAGATGTAATCCCTAATGATACAACAGGTGTATAACAGTCAATACCAGCATTGTAGCGATCAAATAACTCCGTGGCACGTTCACATTGATCCGGTATTAATCCAGCCCCCTCGGGGGTTTGGGCTGTGATTTATATGACTCGCTGGGAGGTTTCGGCACCTCTTTGGCACAGCACCAAACTGCAGGCAGGGATCAGTGTACAATTTACCTTTGCAGTGAGAGGTTTTTGGATCCACGCTCTCAGCAAGCCAGGTTTGACAACGGCACTTTGAAAAGGAGGGCTTGTCGGAGCACGCAGGGGCACGTTTCTCTCAAAGGGTGATTCATGCGCTGCAGCTCCAGCAACTGTCCTGGTTTTACATGCTCCAGTGATGATGAATTAAAGCAGCAACAGGAGCACAGCCCACATCAGCTCTCACAGGATCCTGCCCGCACTGTCAGTTTCCTCTGCACCCCTTTATACACCAGCCCAATCCGTTTACCTTAGAGAGGAGGAACACAGGAGAGCATGGGATGAAAGCATACCAAGGGAAGGGAGCTTCTGAATGGGAATCAAAGGAAAATCCCAGGGTAGCACATCCAAAACCAATGGAAATACTTTTCCACCCAGTCCCTGGTTAAATTCCTATATTTGAGATGAAAAAAAATGGGTAAAATCCAAGAGAATGAGGACTGTTCAGAGGGATAACAAGAACATCTGCAGACACCTAAGACCCAGGGTGCTCACCTGGGGCAGGAGTAGGAGCCTGGCTCATGGCTCTGCTCCTGCCTAACAGAAGTCAGCCCACCTTTGACTAATAAAGGTCCTCATTTAGAAACTCATCATACACCTAATTTTAGTTTGCACCTCTACAGGCAATTTTCAGGCAAAGCACCAGCAATCAAATATGCACAGATATTAAATTAGGAGCTGTCTTTTAATAACGAGGGCAAAATGCACTACTGAAGAAGCGTGGAAAGGAAGCTGGTGTTGTGTGTGCTGCAATCCAACTAACGAGCTTCGCTTGCAGTAGTGGCAAGCTGGTAACTTTCATGAGTATTAAATGCAATTAAAGAAACAAACACTCTCCATCATTCCCCAGAGTGAGAGATATTATCAGTTGTGGCTTTGTATTTTTACATAATCACAGTTTAAAGGAACATTTTTCCATATGTGGAAATTCCCTGTTTTCTCCTCCAAACGCTAACAAAATCCTTGCCTCTGGCTGGCTCTGCTCTCTTCATGGCTCTCTGTTATGGCACTCCTGCTTGCCCCAAGGCCCCAGGGAGAAGAGCTGGGCCCAAAACAAACGCCAGAGGTGAACGTGCTGGAGATCCAGTCCTACATCCAAACAGCACACGTTCCCTCTGCTTGGGGTGCTTTTGAAAATTCCCCTCTTCCCAGAGCTGAAAAGGCTTTTGTGATCTCACAGACCTCCTCTCTCAGGTTCCCACTCCAGCGACGTGATCGAGCGGCACGTCCCACCCATCACCACGTGCCCATCTCCCAGAAACCTCCCAGGGTGAGTAGTGGGGCACAGCCAGCCTGGGAAGCTCCCCTGTACCACTGGGGGACACCTTGGGATCTGGGGAATGATAACAGCTTCCTCCTCTGATCCTGTTAAGGGGGTTGAACTCAATTGGTCACACCTGGGGCTTTGGCTTATGAGCCCAGCTGCTCTGCAGTGGTTTCATCCTCTTCATTCTTCAACCCAAGGGGCAAATTATTTGCTCTCTTGCTGGGAAGTGGGGCCAGGTACAGCACGCTTAATGGAGGCTCGTGCCAAGGGTGCAGGATATCCATGTCTTATACAAAATGCTTGCATGCCCAAGCTGTCTCACACACCCAGCTAGGAGCACCCACACATGGTTGTCCATGTGTCCATCTGTACCCCATTTCTGTCCAGCCACAGTCATTATTCCCCACAGGCAGGGCAGATGTGCTCCTCCCACATCTTCAGACCACTGGCCCCATCACCCTTTGTGTTGGGCAGTGATTTCTGGCTGGCTCCCGTGGCCTTTGCTGGATTTGTTTGTTTGTTTGCCGCACGCGCTGTTTGTGTGCTGTTTGCCTGCTGAGCTTTTCTCTGCCTGCATTCAGTCCATGGGCTGGCCTGCTCCGCTCTTGGATGGCATCTCGCTCACTTGCAAACCTGCAGAAGCTGCCTGGTTCTCCTGGCAAATCCCCAGCACAACCAGCACCACTCCTAGGTGCTGAGGTGAGGGTCTTGGGGCATTCTGAGCTCCCCCACCACCCCACTGAAGCTCCAGTAGAGTTCCTCTAAAAGCTGCAAATTTGATAACCAATCCTTGAAGCAACAAAGGTCTGCTTTTCCAGAGGCAGCAGGAAAAAGTCTAATGGCATCAGTACACTGAGTGGGTTATGGTTATGTAGTTATGGATATTGTCTAAAGAGTCATGAATGGTTTGGGTTGTAAGGGACCAAAAATATCACAAAATTCTAAGCCCCCTGCCATAGGCAGGGATGCCACCCACTAGATCAGAGCCCTATCCAACCTGGCCTTGAACACTTCCAAGGATGAGGCATCCACAGTTTCTCTGAGCAGGAGACCTCAAACCACATGGAAATCATCCAGGAAAGTCTATCAATGCTGAGTCCAGCTCAGGAGACACTTGGGACCAGACCTTGAAGCCTGTATCCCTTGGATGATCCAAAAGGTTCATCTCAAGACATGGGACACCAGCCATGTGTCCAGGATCACTTAATAAAACAGGGCAAGAGTGAGGAACAGTCTGACCATCTCTGTCAAGCCATGCTGTGCCATATATGAAATTCCTTGGGGAGGAGCTGAGCTCTGTGGTTTTACTGACCAGACCCATGCTGTGCTTTCACACTCCCCTGCATGCAAATTCCAAATTTTGCGTGAGACAGACAGGAAGACACCAAGGCTTTGAAGTTTGTCTAAGACCCAGGCAGTTATTGCTGTTATTTTCCATCTGGCAAGACTTTGAGGATCTATGGCTCTTTCCAAATATGTTTTCTGGGAATGTTATCATATTGGAAGCCATTTAGATATAAAACGTCACCGCTCATGGGAAAATCTTGTTAACACAGAGCCACCAGCGGAAGCTCTTCTTAAAATTCCTTTCTGCTTGATAAAGGCTTTCTTTATCTAAGCAGTGGTTTGGTGTCCTCCCCCTGTAGGCTGGTGTTGTGTCACAGAGTTGGGGAAGCCTCTTCCTCGAAGGCAGAAGAGGAAAGTCTAGATGAGCTGCCTTTCATGCCATTGTTTTGGTGGCTGGAGCCCGTAGGGCTCATGTTCATTATCACTGCCAGGGGAGCTGCCTGGGCTGCTCTGTCTGAGCCAAGGTGCTGCTCTGGTACTGGACCCCGTGGCCAGGCACCCACCCATGTCCTGGAGGCAGCATCAGCCCCTCTATGGGCAACCAAATTCTTCCCCTCCCTCCTTCCTCTTTCACTCCTCTTCTTCCTCTACCAGAATCAAACCAACCTGGATATCGATCATCTCTGATGCTCACACTCATCCAGCCACACAGAGCTGCACATAACAGCTGCTATTTGATTTCATTCCTAATCTCTTGCCTTTTTTTTTTTTACCAAATCCCTTTAAACCTCTTTTAAATAGCTCAGGGACCATGAAGGGCTATTCCCCAGCTTTGTTTCTCCTTGTGCTCTGCCTTTTTCAAGCACCTTTAAATCCTTGCCATTTTCACCCTTTCTGCTCTTGTCAAGCATTGCCTACAGCAAAAGGTTGTCTCATCTCAACTTTTATGGGCACTTTTGCAGAGCAAGGATCTCACTGGTTACCTACAGGAACCTCATGCTGCATTACCTTCAGCTGCAGGAGCTCTAGCAAGGATGACCATTCTCGTGAGCAGCTCCCAGCTTTCCATGGAAGATGGAAATTTCAAGGCTTGCAGGCTGTGAGGTGAGCTGGCTCCCTCCTGAGAAGGGAAATGCCACTGAGGCCAGGAAGAATCACCAGAACCTGGTGTCCAAGGTTTCCTAAAGCAACCTCATGTTACTCGGGATTCTAAGGGCCCGTACCAGGATATCTGATCTCAGGCTCAAGCCTGGAGCTGGAAGCCTGGTTGCTTCCAAGGGAAGTAACTTTATAGGGTAGGAAAGGGAGAGTCCTACGGCTTTTAGGCTCCTGGCTTGCAGCAGAGAGGCTGAAAGCCCAGAGGTTGGTTTACCTCTCCACCCTCAGCCTACATGCCTAGGCCTCTGCTTCTGGTCCTTGAAAGCTTGCTGAAGGCCAGACCTTCCTCTCAGAGTACCTCAGGATAAGCAATTCAGCATGTTCCTGCAGTGCTTCACTTGCAGTGTCCTGTGGCTGCGGCCGCTGTGATCCTGAGCTGGGGGCAGGAGGCACCAAATTAGCCTGAATTCCCTGTGTGCACCTACAGCGTCCAGCCTGGCAGGGACCTGCAGGAACACAGTCCAAGACTCTCACCCAGCCTGCCCCATACAAACCACTGCTGCTGAGGAGCCTCAGAGCCTGGACAAGGCAGCTCCAGCTTGCCCATGGCTTGGGAACAGCTGCTGTGTTTCCTAAGCCTTTCTCAGTCCTCTTCCTCGGTCTTGCCGAGCTGCAAGGTGAGTCCTTGCAAAACCTGAAGGATTCACTGCAGAGCATTGCTTGCATTTTTGATTCTGCAGTTCAGAGCCCTGGAAAGAGCCCTGCAGCCACTTAGCTCATGATGACGACTGATACCAAACACTGCTTCCTCTTACTGCAAGTGAGTAAAAATAAACAACATCCTACTGTACCCACCTCTATCCAAGAAAGCACCGTAACCGGTATTTATAGATAAACAGAGATACATTGCCTGCTGGGGTCTGCTGAAATGAATTTAGACCTGAAGATTGAAAATCCAATTGTGTTTATAAATCAGCTGTGACATGCCAGTGTCATGTCATCAGCAGAAGGCAAAGGGCATGTTTACTACAAGCAAAGGCACATGCTACAGTCATATGCATAAGCAAGTTTCTGTGCAGACAGGTTATTTTTTGCATAGTGGTTTTTTGATTTTTACATGACTTAAGGATAATGCTCTAGGAGCCTTCTTTTTTTTCTTAGTGCAATTTTTTTTTTATGGTAACATTGTTTTTTCCCTTTTGTGATTGACTGGAGGTTTTGTTAGGTTTTGTTTTTTTTAATGTTCTGAAGAATGTTTGTGCTTTTTTTGGCACCTTATTACAGACCTCAAAAAACCTGACTAAAACCCTGGCTGCTTCTAAAGCTCCTGCCAAAGGAATTCATGCTTCTCTAAATTTGCTGTTCACATTTCTTGTTCCAACTGATATTTTTAATAATAAATAGGGTTACTAAGAATAACTGTTTACCACCTCTGTCGGCTCCAGTCTTTTATTTGGACTCAGATCTCACCTTTGGATTACCTGTCTGTCTTAAACAAAAATCAGCACTACGTATAGACTCTGTGGGGACCCTCCTAACAAGTTTTCTGGTGTCCTTAGGATGTGCAGCAATCAGCCAGCCTGAAAGGTGACATGTCACAGCCTCCTACCCATCTGAGATCTCATAGTGGCCATGATTTACACGGCTAAACCCAGGCTTTCCCAATCCAAATCCCTCTCCATGTATCACTTTATTTTCCCTGATTCCTCGTCTCCAGCTCCACAGCCAGGCTTCTACATCCATCCTCTTCTGTCACGCCAGCCAAGGTTTTTTAGCTGCTTTTTTTCCTTTTTTTCTTTTTTTTTTTATCCTCTAGACCAGGTCCTCTTATTAGATATGCCCTTTTCACTGACCCTGAATTATTGCTACCCATGGTCTTAGAAGAACAGTGCTGTTTGTTAGTCTAAGAGCACATGTGACTACCCTCTTCCTGGCCAACACCAGAGGTTGCACCAGAGACTTTTCAGGCCAAAAACCAGGCATTTCAGCAAAAGCTACAGGCTCTGAATGTGATCCTTGAGGTCAGAGGAGGACAAAGGAATCATCGTCTATTTGGGGACCTGCCGGAAGACACTAATCAGAAAGACGTGCACGAATTTATTCCAGAGCATGCAAGAGTTTCCTCGGGCAGAATCCAACCTCTGTCGGTGGCAAACATCCCATTCCCGCTGCAACGGGGCTGCCAGCGGGAGCCAGGATTTTAATGCCCGGGATTTTCACTCGAGCCCGTCTGGAGGGAGCGGGATGTTAATGGGGAAGGGCATCCCGGTCCATAGGGGTCTGGGCTGGAGGAAGGTTCCCAGCTCGGCGGCTCTTTAGGGTTTGCAACAATTTGCAGATTAGTGTTGGCACTTCCAAGGCTGGGCTGGCAGCGAGACCTTTAACCAAGACAGACAGATTCCCTGCTGTGGCACTGTTCAGCGGGCTTAAATGGAATAACGACGTCTCTCCAGCTTGGGTGATATTGGGTCAATCTTTTTCTGTTTCACTGTGTTTCCACCCCCCTCCCCATCCCCATCCTCCCCCCGCCGTAGGTCAGGGCTCTCGGGAGGGCTGTGCGCTGCCGCTCCTCTGCCTTTGTGCTTTGGGAGCTTGGGGAGGGGGGGGATCATTTTTATAACTCTTTGTACCAACGCAAGCAGAGCTAATGGTAAAAGGCAATCAAATCTTCT